TCCACGTGTTCCCTCGTCGCGGGAGACTTCAGTACCAAGGTCGGAAGAAGGTGGGCAACAAGTTAGTCGGTAGGCACGGCACAGGAGAGCGAAATGAGAGAGGCGATTGCCTGGCAGAAACGAAACAGCTTTACAGCTGCTGAACCTTGTTCAAGAACAAGACCAATAGCGGGTGGAAATGGATCGCTCCCAAAGCGGAGAGGAAGAACGAGAACGACTCGTCCTGCGCGATAAATGCCACATAATCTGAGTCGAAGTACTGGTGCCATCAGGTACTACAGACGGACGAGGGCCAAGCCAGCTTTCGAGGTGAAGACCGTATCCACCTGTTAGAAACTTATCGTTTCTGTTTCCTTTCCTTATAACTTGACGCCCAGGGCCGTTTAAGTAATCCGCGGTTGCATGATACCTGAGCATCCACAGCGTTAGATGGATTTCGCTTGTATTTACTGGTAAGAGTATCGTCTTGATCATTCTCATTCGTGCTTGAAAAGCCGGTCTTTTTATGGGCCATTGCGCAACATTAGAAATATGGGTTTCTAGAACCACATATGTCAACAAGCTCAGAGCTCCTATTACATTGAACTTTACAAGGTGTGGCATCACCTTCTGTTCCAAGATACAAACAGCGTCATTAAAGCAGTCCAATGTTGCATGGTAATTGAACAACTGTAGTGCATAGTAGTATTTGTTATTATTTTATTCGATACAGTATATTTGTCATGACCGAAGTAGTTTATATGAGTGCAACTTTTCAAACACCGAACTGCATGGCGCATCACACTCTTTTCTTGCTCTCAATTGCCTTAGGACCCATTTAAACAAACACGGTTCCAATCGGAACACCCATTGTGTCCATATTTTTTGTCGTCATTTTTTACTACAGTCCTTTTCTCATCACGAATGATGTTACAGCAGTTGGTACGGCACACTGTATATCACATCAGAGTGAGACTACTTCAATGAGTTTGTCATTAAGGTGATCCATATCATTCTCTATTGATCACAATGTTGTTTCATTTGGTAATGAAATCTGACAGTGTGGTGTCCCTTGTAGTGGGTTTCGATATTTCCTTATGAAATCGACCTTTGCCTGTCAAAGAATACATTTCACCAAACCTGTGAACCATTCATTAAACTTTTGCGGTGTAACTGCGCATTTTCTTGGCAGGTCAGAATAGAGGGCATTGCGCGTGATATCAGCGGGTGCCGCTAGTAGTGAACTCTTTATTGTAGCCAATTTCCTGTAAGGCTTTCAATTCCTCAAGCTGCTTATTACAGTAGTCCCAGTGACAATGCGACTGACAGCTGTTTGACTCCCACGCCTTGGCAACTCTGTTTGAGTGATTCGAATGATGATTCCCAAGTGCCGATTGCTCTGCATGTGTCTGATTTAAATACGGCTACTCTATGACAAAAACTGTGCAAAATGTCGATAATCGATGCACCGTAAGAGGTAAATGGCCAACGATTAAGTCATAAGATCGAACAATGGGGCGAAAAAATATTACCCAGAGACTACGGTCCAGTCATAAGTCCTAAAAGAATGTTTGGGTTTGCAGAATTCTTAGTGTGCATTAAAGCAGCTCTGTTTTAAAGTACACTGAGACTACAAAACCGCTTGAAAAGATTTGAAGCCGCTATCCCAAATATCCACAAACAAAACATGGTGAAATCTTCCTACCATCTGCCTCCTGGTGTAGAATGTTGTGGAACAGTGACAAATACGTACGCTAGAAGCTCTCCGGGGGATGGATTCGAATCTGCTGAGGGCACAATCTTTTGTCATACCTGAGAATTTCCTCGAGCAAGGAGAGCCTCGTTGCTTTAGGGGCAACCAGTATAAAAATTGGCAGTAAGTCCGGTTGATGGCGAATAGCAGGGACAGCATGATATTCCGGTGGAATCCTACCACCGGAATGGACGAGGTATGCGGTAATGTTGTCCTCATGGCTACATTTATCTTTGACCCACCTGATTGCTGACGTGGACTATCCAGAGTTACGAAAAGTGCTAGGTGTAACCACAATTTCGATCTGAACAGAGAATGGCGACTCAAGGGTAAACAAAAGAAAAACTTCAACGACGTCTGATGGGTGGTATCAAGAAGTGCAGTGAATGCAATCTCACAGATTTAGATGGTTTTAGATGGTCAGACTCACAGGTCAGATTAACATGGCCAAAACTTGTGCATTTATGAGAATGACATTTATCATTATCACTGAGGGAGCCTTAAAGTCTGATAAGGCATTGATTTGTTTCGCACTCTTTGCAGGCCATAGCGAGTTATTATTGCTGGAAATGCAAAAGCAGCGCAGTTCAAGAACACGTTTAATCAGTCAATCAGATTTAATGTGTACAGTAATAAAGTGTATCGACTACGAATCAAGCGAACTAAGACAAAGTAAGAACTGTCGATTTGAAAACATGACGAACAAACAAGCGAAGAACATACGCAGCTCGCCAGGACTACGGTACGACGGTTACCACCAGAGTTACTTCTTGTACGGGCCGATCATGGGAGGTGGTGGCGGAAGGGCTGTCACAGGAGGTGGTGCGGGAGGGCTGATCATCGGACTGCTTTTCGCAGGACACGGACAGTAGCCAGCATCCTTGCCCGGTTCTCCCTCCGGTCCAGTCATACCGTCTGCGCCTGCTCTTCCAGGCTCACCTCGTCTACCTTTCGGCCCTTGCGGTCCTCGTGGTCCCTCAACGCCTGGTGCACCGCTCACTCCGCTAAATCCTGCTTCCCCGGGTGGTCCTGTTGGACCGCGCGGTCCCTTATCTCCACGAGGGCCCTTTTGGCCAAGGGTTCCCGATTGACCTGGAGGTCCCATGGGACCTGATTTCCCTGCTTTACCAGGCAGACCTGATTGTCCCTTCTGGCCAGGCTTGCCGCGTAGTCCCTTCGCTCCTGGCTTTCCTGGACGACCTCTGGGTCCTTTCATGCCCTGAAAATTATTATTTATTGGATACACGTCTTAAGAGAAGAGCGTCTTAAAGTCTTAAAGCTGAGCAATACAAACAATGAAAACAACGTGTATTTGACCTGTGAACCAGGCTTTCCTGGTGGGCCGATTTTGCCTTGAGCTCCTTCTGGG